AATTTTACACTCAGCAAAATTAAAGCAATTAAGAACTGATTTACTCTTCTCATTTCAAGTATTAACGATACTCCAGGCTTATATAGTACTGATATAACAATTCGATCGGTTCTCGGTGCTTGGTAAACGGAACAACATTTTTCTCCCGAGTATAGGCTGAGTGATTTGAAAACTCTTTGCGTGTTTTATTAGCCTTTATAGTGAGTTATCAAGCCTCTATACCCCTAGAGAGTGCAGTTTATACCTTTATTCAATAGCTGTTGGTCAATCGATACAATAAAAGTTATGATTAACCGATTATGTGTGTGGTACCTCAGTCATTTTATTCTAGGAAATGACAAACACTTGTACAATTCTTTGAAAGAATAACAAAGTCATGTCTCGAGATAAATTGCGTGAACCTGTCTATTTTCCACTCAGTTTGACCTCTTATCTATCAGATCCAGGTAAATATAACTCAAAGACGAAAGGAACTCTGATTTAGTCCACATTCCTCACTTGTTGCGCACTCTCAAGAAAACGGCATTTTGCAAGGATGGTTAATTTCACTAAACCGCCCGTGTAAAATTTCTATGTTAGACCTGCTAGACCACAATGCTAAGGGAACTGCATTAACAGTTGCTACAAGTACATGTCTTTCCATCTTTTCTGCCAAACGGCCATGACGGCCATGTTCTGATAGTGAGTTTCTATCACAAGAGATACGTTGGTGAAAAACCCCTCAATCAGCAGTAAAATTGATGTTTGGATGATCAACAATTTAAGCAAGTTTGCAAAGGGTTCGTTTTCCACGTAAATAAGTTGATAGAAGAAGAAAACGCCATTGGCAGACACGAGGCCGATTGACTCATACAACTTACTTACAATAGAAGTATCAGCCATTAGTCTCTCGCGGTGAGGAGTGCGAAAACTTCCCCAAGGAGCTCATTTTCTTTTCCAAAGCACGTGGCAGAAGTGATTAATGATAACCATCATGCTTCTTTCTAAAACTTTATGCAACACTGTGAATTATTCCAAGAGTAGCCATGGATTGTAAACTGCCTTAGTCGGCTTGCAATACTCGAAACAAAACAGCTGAGCCAAAATACACCGGCACCAATAACACATACGAATATCCCGGATGTATAAATTTCCACAACCGCTGAACGGAAATCCTTGAAATTACTTTCAGAACAACTCCAACAAGCGGAGCGGAAACAGCGATCAGAAGTTTACCTTCCTTGTTTAGTTCGATGTAAGCTGGGTATAAAGAAAAAGCTGGGACGAAAGCCAGAATGTCGCTAAAACAGGTCAGAAGAATCATTTGAAAGAAAAATTTGCCCGTTGTTTTCTCGAGCGTCCACTTAAAAAATGCTTCATTAAAAAATAAACTTGCACGGATATGGTCATAAGAAACATAAGATGGAAAGGTATCTTTTGCTTTGTGAAAGACTTTGACTGATTTATTCGTAACGCTTGTAGAACAACGCGATAAAGTGTGTCCAAGCCATACAATAGAAAAGTTGCTAGGACAAGCTTTCTCTTCACCCCGATCACCTGAAATGGGCGAAATAACAAAACCACAGTTACGAAGAACCACATGTATATAAAAGCATAGGAGAGGATACCAGATATTGAACTGATCCATTGAACTTAAACTGGAATTGACTGGTAGGAGTGAAACTGACAGTTGAGTTAAGTCTTATACGGGAGATAAATGACCGACATAAATAATGAGCCTATGACAT